AACCAAACAAACCGGCTTGTGACTTTTGACATGACTGGTGGCTCAACCCCCTATAGTGAGGCTAGTGGTGTTCAATATATATATAGACCTGGCTCCAGCACATGTTGGTTAGCATAGCTCTGATGAAGGAGGTATGCCTCCGAAACGTTGCATGGACACACGATTCCCCTTTTTCTGTGGCATCTTGTGGTTTTTGAGATTTTTCTTTCCACTTCTGTGAGTATCCATTGGCATCTGCTTTAACAGTAATGTACTAGGTATTTGCACCCTCCTGTTTATTCTTTTTGTACTAATAAATGCATGCATTGAGGTGTACAGGCTAGGTGAAATGGGCTGCCATTCAAAATTCATGGCACTGCACCCCTGATCATGCAATAAAATACACATTGCTACAACATGTAATGTGAAAGGGTCCTTAGAGATCAACCTATTAGTGTCAGTCTGTAACTGAAATAATTCATTGAGTTATTTTTATACGATTAGGGGTGTATTAATAAAAACAATAAATACCTGTTTGTCCATCAAAATTGCATGTAAATGTGTTTTGTGAGAATGGGGATAAAATTGATCAAATGTGTGAAAGGGACACACACAACGTCATTATGGCCTCTAGATGCCTCTGAATATCATAGGAAGTATGTATGCTCCTCATCTTAATCTAGTGGCCATAATGCTTTATTTTTTCATTCACACCTTTGATTTGCAGAGAATATAATCTGAAAACTTTTGCCCTATTTGCACAGAACAAATTTAGATCCAGTTTTGATGGACGAACAGCTATGCGAATTTGTTCTAAAAGCTCCCCTTAGTATGAACAATACAATAGAATATTTTCATTCATCCTGGGGGCTGGTTCCCCTGTCCATGCTATACAGCGCAGATGGATGAATCTCAGGCCGTGCCTATTGTATTTTGATAGTTGACCCTGTTGGCTGTCAAAATACCCAAACATCAGATGTTGGACGAGAGATGGCCTCAGGAACAGGGGCAGACTGACCATTTGGAAACTCGGGCACTGCCCGAGGGCCCAGGGTCAGTAGGGGGCCCCGTGAGATGCCCCTGGTACCTTTTATCATAGGTTTTTTGAGTTTGGGCAAGGACACAGGGGCCCCATGATCCCCTATTGCCCGAGGGCCCCATGAGTTGTCAGTCCGCCTCTGCTCAGGAACCATACAAAATTGGCACCGTGTATACCCAGTTTAACAGATCAATCATCTTTCGCTCGTTTGTCTCCAGTAAATAAAGTATTGGGAGCAGAAGGACATTAAAAACCTTGTAGGAACCAAGGATTTGGAGTGTAGAAGACTTCAGGTAGCAAAATTGCGATTTTATTGAAAGCTATATAAAAGAATACACGGGCAAAAGAAGGTACAGGAGTTCTTAAAGTAGTTGACACGTTTCGTGCTAATTAGTGCGAAATGCATCGTCTGTGCACCCCCTTTTGACATTCTTTTTTTTTTTTTTTTTTCTTTTCCAATAAAATTGTAATTGTTTGTGGAGTGCAGTCATCTGAAGTCTCTTCTGTGTTTCTGGTCTTCAGTTGGCAAGCTGGGCTTTGCACCCGATTTAATATAGGTACAGTATGGGAGATCAGGTAGTGGACCAGCCTGGAGCAGATGGTCTTAATGGTCAAGGTTTTGGGATGGTGGATCATAAAATGTCTGCAAACACATTTGAACCAAGCACCTTTTTCCGCCAACTTTGCCCTTTTGAGTTGTTTAAGTGTATTGTGGATTTGAAAGGCTTGGAATTAATCGATAGAGCTTGGAGCACAGAATGTCAATCACTAAAACCATTGACCTCAAGGGTCATCTGAAATGCAATAAAATCAAGGCTTGCCTGTAGGATCCATTTCTGATCACTTGGATAAAAGGTAATGTGTCGCATATTGTGGACCTGCTGATAACACTGAATAATTTCAGGGCAGATTGTCGTTATCTGTGCCACCCAGATGGAGAAGTGAACTTTCACTCGGGGTGTGTCACATTTTTTAGTTCCTCTGAACAATATTTCTAGAACATTTGTAGGGAGGCATCAAATACCCCAACATAAATGGGGTCCCATTACTGCAGTGGTGCTCATGTTACCGTGGCTTTTGCATAAAAAAAAAAAGGGTTCACAATGGGGTGGCTCACTACCACTGAGGTACGGGGCTCTTTTTGGAGGGGGTGTGCTGCATATTTTGAGAATTGCCTTTCCAATTTGCAATAGATTTTTTGTTTAGTATATCCAGAGTTAATGCAGAACTAGTCACCAAATCTACGTTGTTCCAGGTTCCTAGCAGTGTGTAGGCCCTGTGTCATGGGCTGCAGAGGAAGAGGGAGTTACAGGAGGTATTTTGGTCATCGTAGTGTAATAAAAAGAGGGAAAATGTTAGGTGGGGTTACAAAAAACAGTCACATAAGATAACCGCACAGTCTTAAGGTTTAGTACTCCAACAGTCAAATCCAGACCTTTGACTTCTGTTTTAAGAATGAGTTACTCCTCAGTGCCTGAAGCTACAGAGAACACAGGGCATGCTTTAAAACCTTACGTACTGCATGTTAAGAATGTGGAAGTATTAATGTCCATAGCTTAGCTACAGTTCTATGTTGATTTCACATTTACCGCTCATCCTTTTAAAGTAATATTAAACCCTTGGCATTTGTAATTAACAGATTGAGCACAATAATAGAAACGTTCTGCAGTAAAATTCCTACCCCTACTCTTGAAATTTCAACTTTCAATGCTGTTGCCGCCTGCTCTTAGAGTGCTACTTCCCTGAATTTCTGGTCTTCATAGAAAAGCGTTAACAATGGCCAATGCCACATAGAGCCAGCCTGTTAGTTTGGAGAAAAGGGATTGATTCACACATTGTAGGGAGACACAACTTCTTGCATAAAAGGGTGGTTCCATAGAATGCTGCAAGAGAAAGGCACCACCCTGAAACAGGAAACTTGGAGGAGCATTCACAACACCAGCTTAAAACTGGAGCATTGCAAGGATTAATAAGGAAGCTGCATGCTCAGTAAAAGTGAATAAGTCCACTACTGAAAGTGCTTAAAAATGAAAATTGAAGGTTTATGTTATTTATTTCAGGTACTTGCATAGCGCCATCAATTTACGCAGTGCTTTACATATATATTGTATGTTCACATCAGTCCCTAACCCTCAAGGGGCGTACAATCTAAGGTCCCTAACTCACATTCATACATAAACATATTAGGGCCAATTTAGACAGGATCCAATTAACCTACCAGCATGTCTTTGGAATATGGGAGGAAACCGGTGTACCGGAGGAAACCCACGCAGGCACAGGGAGAACATACAAACTCCAGGCAGGTGGTGCCATGGTTGGGATTCGAACCGACCGACTAGTACTGCCAGGCGGAAGCCACTGTGCTGTCCCAGGTTTATATTCGCTTTGCTGTAGTAAAGAAGAAAAAAAAAAAAGCGCAACCTTGCGCATTACCTCAGTAAGCAATTAGTAGGTTTATAGATATAGAAATATACTCACGAGAAATATACTCAAAGAGTAGCAATATAAAAGGCATCAAAAATCCCAAAAACGACTCTCTGGATTGAAAGACACTGTGCGAATCCCATCAGGAGCGGAGACTCTCAGGATGAATTTGATGCGTTTCGAAGGGGGATCCTTTCTTCATCAGAGCTTGTTTTTGGGATTTTGGATGCCTTTTTTATATTGCTACTCTTGTGAATATAGTTCCTATATCAATAAATCTACTATTTGCTTACTGCGGTAATGCGCAAGGTTGGTGCGCTCTGGTTTTTTTTTTTTGTTTTTGTATCAAGCTTCGTGTCAGAGCCGCACAACCTTTGATCGATCCTGGAGGAACTTCCATATATCATACCGTATTTTTCGCTGTATAAGACGCACCTGACCATAAGACGCACCTAGGCAGAGGCAGAAAAACAGGAAAAAAAAAATTCTGAACTAAATGGACTGCAGACGCAGTACAGGAGATGACCAGAGACTGCGGACAGCACAGGGATGACCAGAGACTGCGGACAGCACAGGGATGACCAGAGACTGCGGACAGCACAGGGATGACCAGAGACTGCGGACAGCACAGGGATGACCAGAGACTGCGGACAGCACAGGGATGACCAGAGACTGCGGACAGTACAGATGACTGCTGACCTTTGGGGAGGGTGGTGAGCGGGTACCTGAATTTGACAGGTACCCACTCTTACTTCCGCAGAGTTTTTTCTGTTTGATCTTACCTGTTCCTCGATCCAGCCGCGCGCTGTCTTCCCGGTTTCTGTAATGGCGCTCGGCATGACAGCCGGGTGCCCAGTGCGCATGAGCGATAAGCACTTGCACTTTGTGATTGCAAATCCACATCGGCGGCTTCTGGGATCTGTCATGTGTCCCCAGGTATGATGACGAATTTCCCTATCCTTACCATTCACAAAAAGCACCGCTTCTTGCGCATGCGCACTTGGCACCCGGCTTTTCAAGTGCCCAGTGCCCACACTACAGAAGCCGGGAAGACAGCACGCCGCTGGATAGAGGAACAGGTAAGGTCCCGCTGCAGAGCTGAGCGGCCGGCACGGTATTATGACACGGCCGCGGTGGAAATACCGGACCGGCCGCTCCATATTCGCTCCATAAGACGCACTGACATTTCCCCCCAGTTTTGGGGAGAAAAAGTGCGTCTTATACGGCGAAAAATACGGTACTTTATATTGGTTTATTGGCCCTCTACTGATCTGGTCCCCGAGCGCAGGAGGGGTTGCATTTATATTCACTTTAAACAGAAAATCTAATGACCAAATACCAGGGCTTACAGTAGAGTCGCATGACCAACACTCTGGGGAATCTAGGGCAATGTGTTCTCTAGGACAGGTAAGTTTTTAATGTATAGGTCCATTTTTTGGAGATCAGTTTGAATTAAGTACATTAAAATAATGGTCTCTACTTGTTTATTTACTTTAGATGATATTATAGTGTAATAAATCAATGACCACCATCCCTTTCATTCTGACCAAATAGGCCTTCCTTCTCTCTTTTCAGGTTTATCTAGAGCTTCAGAGTGTGCATGCGGGCGTAACCACTTTACTTGTGCGGTCAGTGCGTTTGGGGAATGTACGTGTATCCCGGCACAGTGGCAGTGTGATGGAGATAATGACTGCGGGGACCACAGCGATGAAGATGGTTGCAGTAAGTTTTTTCTAAATGTATGAGATTTATCCATTCAATACATTTACCAACATTTCTTCAGGATATGCAGACCGCTTTCTGTGTCTCTTTTCTTACCTGCAGTGTTTTTTCTTTTCCATAAATGATTTCTTATTCATCTGCATTGTGTCTTTGAACTTGCTAGAAAAACAGACTAGTTAATTCCCTAGCACAGTATATCCTAGCCCCAGGGTGGATTTGATTGAAATCGCTAGTGAAAAGGCTCAATTTTTAAATCATAATTTTTAAAGAGCGACTGTCATCTCTGTCCTGCAGCGGCTCCTCCTCTGTTGACTCACTGACAGTCCCATTCACTTTAATGGGACGGCTGATGATGCGGCAGTGACACAACAAGGTGAGGGACGTGGCGGCAGCAGGTGAGTGGATGGCCACAAACAGGCGCTGCCATGATGGATCTAAAATGACAGGTGCTCTTTTAAATGTAAAGAATCCGACTCATTCTTGCTGGTAGTTAGAATGTTTAATATTTGCAAACCAAATGAAGGTTTCCTTTTTAGAATAATAAGCTGTCAGGTTAGTAAAACAGCGATATCAGAACCGATTTTAGGTTAATAGGTTAATCGCACATAGCGGGAGAAATTCTTTTTTCACGTTTTTTTTTTTTTTTCATGGTTCCTGTGAAATTGTGTGAATGCATCAATGCAGTGCATGTTATCTCAGCTTGCAGAACTTGGATTCATTGAATGAGTTTACCAAAAATATAAATATTGCAGAATATACAGACTCATGTTACCTAACGAAGCTCCATTTCATGCTGAATAATCTAAATTATTAATGCATCTTAAATAGAAAACTATCTTTTAGATAGATTTTTCTCCAAAAGCATTTTATTAAAATAAATTGGCTAAAAAAAATAAAATCAGATTTAAAAAAACTAATTTTTTTTTTTTTTTTTTTTAGCCATTTGCCTACCGGGTATTTGTACCCCCTTCCTTACCAGGCCAATTTTCAGCTTTCAGCATTGTCGCACTTTGACAATTGCGCGGTCATGCAAGATTGTACCCATATGAAATTTTTATAATTTTTTTTTTTCTTACAAATAGAGCTTTCTTTTGGTGGTATTTACTCACCACTTGGTGTTTTTAATTTTTGCGCTATAAACAAAAAAAGAGCAAAAAAATTTGAAAAAAAGTTTCTTTGCAAAAGTTTTATAAATACAAACAGGTAATTTTTTTTCCTTTACTGATGGGCGTTGATGAGGCTGCACTTATAGCCAGCACTGATGGGCAGCATTGATGGGCATTGACTGGCGGCACAAGTGGGTGGCACTGCTGGGCACCGATCATTGGGGCACTGATCATCAGTGCCGATCCCTGTGCTGACAACTGCTGGTTCTCGGCAGTACTTTCCTCACGCTCTGACAGCGTGAGGAAAGTGCAGCTGAGAACCAGCAATTGCATTTCCCGGTGATCAGCGTGTCATTGGAATGGCTGATCACGTGATAAAAGGCCGTTGTGATTTTCCTTTTACCACATCGTGATCAGCTGTGTCTGTAGGACAAATTGATCACAGAGATTGCTGGGTGCGCGCCCCCGGGGGCACACAGGAGAGTGAGTTCTGGGAGGGCATCATATGGTGGCCTCTCAGAACTGGCCAGCCGCAGTGCAGCCGTCATTCGGCTATCTGCGGTCGGCAACTAGCCATAACTAGTAACTGCCATAGCCTCATGCACCAGGGCTAAATGCCAAGTGTGCATGGGGCCTTTGCCTTTCAAACTGACTGGTCACTGGTTCGAATCCCAACCAAGGCACCACCTTCCTGGAGTTTACATGTTCTCCCTGTGCCTGCGTGGGTTTCCTCCAGGTACTTTGATATCCTCCCACACTCCAAAGACATGCTGGTAGGTTAATTGGCTCCTATCTAAATTGGCCCTAATATGTGAATGTACGATATATATGTAAAGCGTTGCATAAATTGACGGCGCTATACCTGAAATAAAAAAAAATGTGAAGTATGAATTTTGACAATGGATCCACTTGAATTGGTGACCGTGAAATGTGTAGCATAAACATCACAAACAGTGGATTAGATGTTCTACATCTTGATGATGATTTATTTTTTTTTTTTTGTAAATTAGTGCTGCCTACCTGCTCACCGCTGGACTTTCACTGCGATAACGGGAAGTGCATTCGACGCTCTTGGGTGTGTGATGGGGACAACGACTGTGAGGACGATTCTGATGAGCATGACTGTCGTGAGTATTCCTTTAACCTGTTCTAGGAATTGGGGGGGGAATAGCATCCAATAGGTACATCATAGAGGCTGTTTGGTTGGCTTACTAGCTTGCACAGCAGAACTTTTAGATTTTGTAGGCCCTGATTTGAAACTGGCTGACCTGAGACACAATATCTGTCAGGGAAGGTGCTACTCGCCTAATTAGTTTGAGTACTTAGGACTCCACCCTCCCCATATTAATAAGATTAAAATTGGGAAACCAAAGAGCCACTATTGTATACATCGAAGGATCCTCCATTCCACTATTTGGGCAGGTACCCAAATTATCATTTTAAACCAAGAAGAAAAAGTGAAAGAAGTACAGCCAAAGCTTGTTTGGTTGTACGTCTCCTGTGACCCATTTTCAATTGACAGTGGGATAAAGTCCGTTGTCGGCTGAAGTCTGGCCTAAGCTGGGTAAAGATCACAACCATATGGTCAGGGTCCACTCGGGAGCCTGGACCGGCACCTGGCTCAGCCTCTCAGTGAGCCACTGAGTGCATGAGCCAGCTCCTCCTGCCCCCTCCACAGCCCAGTGCTCAAGTGAGGGGGGCCATATCCGACAGCTCACGGCTCTCTGCAGGGAGAACTGACTGATTAGCAGTGTTTGATTGCTCAGTTGTCATCCTTAGAGCTGCGGGGGACAGTTACGGTTCTCTGCTAAGAGCAGCAGGGAGAACTGACTTGATTAGCAGTGTTTGATTGCTCAGTTCTCATCCTTAGCAGAGAGCCGTGACTGTCCCCCGCAGCTCTAAGGATGAGAACTGAGCGATCAAACACTGCTAATCAGTCGGTTCTCCCTGCTGCGCTTAGCAGAGAGCCGTGACTGTCCCCCCGCAGCTCTAAGAGCAGCAGGGAGAACTGACTGATTAGCAGTGTTTGATCGCTCAGTTCTCATCCTTAGAGCCGGTGGGGGACAGATGCAGAATCTGATCGATGCTGCATTTACCTAGGTGAGCGTGCTTTAAAGAAAAAAAAAATCCAATGCTGCTCTTCGAAATGTGTATCACTTCCCTTTTTCTAGTGGATTTTAACCAGCCCTTATCTCTTCGGAAATTAATGAGCTGAAGGTTGTAAGTCAACAAATGTCTTCCTCTATAAATAAGTGGAAGGAGATTAAAACAAACCTGTTAAATTAAAAACCCAAACCCATTTTCTACTCCATGCTGGGTACTCCCTGGTAAGTGAAATTACCCTGCCTTCCTTCCCCTGAGCTGCCTGTAAGGTCGCAGCAAACGCCGATAGTAACTAACATGCAGTATTACCAGTGGAACAAGAAGGCCACACACTGATAGTTGCTAAGCTTAAAATAAACTTTATTCAGGCCACACGTATGTGCTGGCGAGTCCCACATTGGAACTGCCCATCTTTCACGCGTTTCACAGGCTTAAAATGACAGTCAACTCTGGTCTGGTTTACAAAAAAATTATAATCAAGTATATATTTGTCACTCTGAAATGTCCTTTCTATTGCTGCCAGCCTCCTTCACTTCTCCATTTTTTTTTTTTTTTGCTTTGATCTGATTCCCTGTTAGAGGGTGGCTACCTTCATTCTCTACTTTATGCAAGAATGTAGCCACCCTTTCTTCTGATAATGACTAGGGACTATGGAAAGTGTGTAGTGGATATGCTCAAAAAAATGAAAGGAACACTTTGAAAAGACATCAGATCTCAATGGGGAAAAGTCTGCTGCTGGATATCTGTACTGATATGGACTGGGTAATGTGTTAGGAATGTAAGGATGCCCCATCGTTTGATGGGAGTGAAAATTATCAACCTACAGAGGACTGAATTCAAAGACACCCCGAAAATCAAAGTGAAAAAATGATGCAGTAGGCTGCTCCATTTTGCTGAAATTTCATTGCAGCAACTCAGAATGGTACTTTGGCCCTCACGTGCTTGTATGTATGCCTGACAACGTTCAGGGGAGGCTCCTAATGAGATGAGGTGTCCCAGGGTGTTTCCTCCCAGATCTGGACCAGGGCGTCACTGAGCTCCAGGACAGTCTGAGGTGCAACCTGGTGGCGTTGAATGGACCGAAACTTGATATCCCAGAGGTGTTCTATTGGACTTTGGTCAGGCGAGCATGGGGGCCATTCAATGGGATCAATTCCTTCATCCTCCAGGAACTGCCTGCATACTCTCACTACATGAGGCCGGGCATTGTTGTGCACCAGGAGGAACCCAGGACCCACTGAACCAGCATAGGGTCTGACAATGGGTCCAAGGATTCCATCGTGATACCTAATGGCCGTCAGGGTGCCATTGTCTAGCCTGTAGAGGTCTGTGTGTCCCTTGATAGATATGCCTCCTCAGACCATCACTGACCCACCAATAAAACTGTCAAGCTAAATGATTTAGAGGCAGCATAATGTTCTCCACGGCTTCTCCAGACTCTTTCATGTCTGTCACATGTGCTCAGGGTGAACCTGCTCTCATCTGACAAGCACAGGGTGCCAGTGGTGGACCTGCCAATTGGGGTGTTCAGTGGCAAATGCCAGTCGAGCTCTATGGTGCCAAGCAGTGAGCACAGGGCCCACTAGAGGACGTCGGACCCTCAGGCCACCCTCATGACGTCTTTTTCTGATTGTTTGGTCAGAAACATTCACACCATTGGCCTGCTGTAGGTCATTTTGTAGGGCTCTGGCAGTGCTCCTCCTGTTCCTTTTTGCACAAAGGAGCAGATACCGGTCCTGCTGATGGGTTAGGGACCTTCTATGGCCCTGTCCAGCTCTCCTAGAGTAACTGCCTGTCTCCTGGAATCTCCCCATGCTCTTGGGACTCAGCTGGGAGACACAGCAAACCTTTTGGCAATGGCACGTATTGATGTGCCATCCTGGAAGAGTTGGGACTGCCTGTGCAACCTCCTGAAGGGTTCAGGTATCGCCTTTTGCTACCAGTAGTGACACTGACTTTAGCCAAATGCAAAACTAATGAAAAACAGAAAAGATGAGTAGGGGAAAAAAATTGTCAGTGGCCTCCCCCTGTAAAACCATTCCTGTTTTTGGGGTTGTCTCATTGTTGCCCATCTAGTACACCTGTTCATTTCATTAACACCAAAGCAGCTGATACTGATTAACAACCCCTCTGCTACTTAACTGACCAGATCAATATGCTTGGAGTTGAATTGACTCAATGTTATACTCTGATTAAAAAGTGTTCCTTTAATTTTTTTTAGCAGTGTATTTACATCTAAATTTGTTTCTGGATAATGCCTAAATGGTTGGAACCTAGACTGGAAGGAAATAGCAAATATTTCTTCTTTTTTTTCCTCTAATTTGGCTTGTTTGGACTTGTAGCTCCTCGAGAGTGTGAGGAAGATGAGTTCTCCTGTCAGAATGGATATTGTATTCGCAGCCTGTGGCACTGTGATGGCGACAACGATTGTGGGGACAACAGTGATGAACAATGTGGTAAGTTGATGTTGAATGTGTCGTTTCTGCCAGAGCTATATCGTCTTATGTCTTTAATAAATAGATGTGGGATAATTGTAAATTGGGAAAAAAGAACCTCACCGGCTATTGAGCATCTAGTCACAGTTATGAACATAACAGACCACCCTAAAGCTGCAGTGTGAGCTTCAGCTTTATCCATCTGGACCTGTTTCAGCGCCTATGTTTAGGTGAGGTGATGTAGATGGCAAATGTAGGATGGCTGTTGAGCCCAAACAAAGCTTAAAGTGTTACAAAACCCACAATAATAAAATCAGTCTGTATATGCAGTGAAGCATGCTTGTTATACTCACTATGGAACCTAAGGGGTTAATCCTCAGCATTGTGTAAAAGATGTTTTATCCTGTGTTCTCTGATCCTCCCCTTCCATTGTCCCCTAAATAGCTCCTGCTCGAACAGAGGTTTGGAGTTACTCTGCACATGCTCAGTTAGGTGTGCATTGCTGGAGTTTGTGTTTTTTTTTTTTTTTTTCTTGGGAGAGTGCATGTGATCAGCATAGGGCCAATCAGCACTGTCCAGACAGAGGTCAGGGGTCCTGCATTCTTCTAGAGCAGAATGAAAACTCCTCCTACAATCTTTAACCAATGCTATGCTGGACACTGATAGAAGTCACAAGGCTACTGATGAGAAAAGGTATTTGTCAGGTTATATTTACTAAAATAATTGGATTTCCATGTTCTTTGTACTGTGGGAGACCAGATATCGTGAATGCAAAGTCCGGGGTTTAGTGACACTCAACACAGATATCAGAAAGATATATTCCATAGTGTGCATAAAGTAAAAATGTAAGTTTTTCATTGTAATTAATCGTATTGCTTCCCATAACCAGTCCAGGGCGCAAGCTGCAAAGTGTGTATGGAAGCAGCAATCTCTCTGCCCCTTCTGAGTGAAAGGTAGAACTCTGCAAACCTCACCATTGCTGCTAATTGGAAAGCCCTAGGTTTGATTTGGGGGGGGGGGGGGGGGGGGGGGTTACTACTGCAGAAAGACTTCTGATGTTTGTGCTTTCGATTTTGGGTTGGTGCTGGGGAACAATTTTTACATCTGATTACAGTAAGTTTCATTCTGTAAATATATTTTTTACATTTTTAAAACAATCATTCTCTGAAACCGTCGTCCTTTTTTTTTTTTTTTTTTTTTGTTACAGTAGTTTAGAGCAGCTACATCTGAGCAACACAATCCAAAAATGCTTTAATGCTTTTTTTTTTTTATATTCGAATGAAACTCCCCCACCCATACATCTTTATTTTATTGAGAAATCACTTTGGAAAAAATACCCTCCTTGAATTTCTGACTGTGGCCATCTTGAGCAATGGCAAATGATTCATATAGCTTTTACTTCCTGGAATCCATCTGCCCTGAGCTCAGGCATGTATGCAGGGTGTGCTTAGCTGCCAAAACCCCTCCTGGGATGTATGACATTACTTGCCTAAGCCAGAAAACAGGAAGTACCTGAAGAAGTTTCCTATCCTATTTAATAATGATTTCAGCATATGGATTAAAAATAACCAGTGCTGATTGAGAGGGTGAAATTCTGTTTTAATGTATTGATGATTTTTTTTTTTTTTTTTTTTTTTTTTTTTTTTTTTTAATTTTTTTAAAGCTGAACTCCAGGGTTAACTGTTCATTTATGTATAGGAGACCAAGTAAGCCACTTTTAATTGCCCGATCTCCTGCAGACCTCTCAGTGCTGCTAGACTGGTCCCCTGCAGCCTCTTCTCCACTGTGCACCAGCAGTCTGAGGTTGTCTGATGTCATCAAGACCGATGCAGGAATCCACTGACTGCCTTGGGAGTCTTTAGTTCTCCCAGAGTTAGGCTTTAAAAGACAAATGCCAGGCGACACATAGAGGTCTGATTTTGTTTGCCTGTTTGGTCCACTATGACCTACCATGTCCTATCTGGTATTTGGCCTTGGCACTAAGGTGTCCATCATGACGACATAATGGAGGGGTACAGGATCTTTAAGGGTGTCAGCTACTGGGCTGTCAATGGACTACTTTTATGGAAATTGGACAAGTGTCTGCATGTAGTGATGTAATATTTCAGGTCTAGTAATAACAAATTGCAGCTCTAGAATAATAAATACTGATAAAAGGGCAAATAAATAGAGCAAATAAATAATGTGACAGTTCGTGGTAAAAAGTGCTTGGTACAAAGGTCGATAGTGACTTCAATCTTCAGTGGCGTGTCAGAAGTGTGGTAAAAATACGCTCTCACCAGATGCGTATTTTAATACGCATGTAAATAGTATAACCAGAGGTCCCCCTCTCTCAGGATGGGATGGATGGGAAATGCCTTTTACGGATTCTCCTCCCTCTGGGTGGTATATAACTTTAAAGGTGTCTTCCTTGGTGGGTGCGAATAGAGTCCAGCCAGAGGCCTCCTTGATGGATGGATGGATGCTTGTTAACCAGTATTAATGGAAACCGCTCCCTCCTTTGGTTTAATGGAATGTTGCCACTCGAACCACTGCCACTGTGTCATCCGGAATGGGCTCTATAAATGAATATTCATTCCCCAAAGAGCCAAACAGAAGATATCCCATAGTGCAGTAATTGGTAAAAATGATTTATTAAGTAATAATTCCACGTGGTTAAAAAAGCAAACAAAATGGAGAAGCACTGACCATCCACAATCAATAGGTGGCCGTCGGACCTACATGGGGTACCGGCAGTGTGACGTCATGGCGTACTGGCTCGTCCTTTGATGCGTTTCGTGCTAAGGCACTTCTTAGAAAGGATCGCCAGTAGCTGGACCCTATCTGCACCCGCCAAGGAAGACACCTTTAAAGTTATATACCACCCAGAGGGAGGAGAATCCGTAAAAAGCATTTCCCATCCTGAGAGGGGGGACCTCTGGCTATACTATTTTCATGCATATTTAAAGTACGCATCTGGTGAGTGCGTATTTTTACCACACTTCTGACATGCCACCGAAGTTTGAAGTCACTATCGACCTTTTTACCACGAACTGACACATTATTTATTTGCTCTTTTATCCGTATTTATTATTCTAGCGCTGCACTTTGTTATTACTAGTTTCTATGAGGTTTTACTTGGTTATCTTTTGTGTGCTTCAGCAGCTAGTTCTAAAGCGCTCACACTGATTTTATTCCATTTTAAACATTTCAGGTCTGCTGAGACCACACATATTCCTTATTCCCTTCTACTCTCATCATCGTACTGATGTTTTTTCAGTACTTGCATCTCTTCTGTCTTCTGGTAGTCTGTTCATAGCAGATTTTTATAGCGGTCTTGTGTCCCCAATGGGTAGATTCTCTCCTCTAATTGATGATCCTTTTAACTGGGACAGAAAGGGAAATCTAAGCTTAATACAGTTGTCACCAGAAACAGCAGAAGAGTGAATAATTGTCAGATAGGGTCACCTGTCCCAGGAATAACGTTCCCTTGCTTCCTTTTGTTTCTGTGGCCCATAAATTAAAGGTTTGTCCTGCTGGTGGGGACAATGGCAGAAGCCTCCACCTCTGCCTCCATGATTGAACTAAAATTCAGCGGATGTAATGGGAGGAAAGAGCTGGATATATAGCCACTCTATCTGGTTTGCTGCAACTTCTATTGAACGTTGTGAGGAGCTCACAGTATGCAGTGGAATTAGACTTCAAATTTTCAGTACAGCAGAGGAGCCTTTACAACCCTACAAGACCTGAAGATAAGCTGGAATTTCAGCTGTAAAAACAGAACCTATAGGTAATCTTACCCATTACAGCTTACTTGCTAATAGAAAACAGAATGATGTGAATGGTGTATTGTAGGGGCTTCCAAACATTCTAAACAAAGGGCCAGTTTACTGTGCTTCAGACTTTAGGGGGGTGGCAGATTGTGGCCAGTGGGAGTAGAAAATGTCTTTGGTGCAATTGGGAGTAAACCATATCCCATCTTTGGTATTAGGGGAAATATTAGTGCCCCAACGTTGGTGTCTGTGGAAGCAATAGTGCCTCATTGTGTCTGTGGAAGGAATAGCGCCCCAACGTTGGTGTCTGTGGAAGGAATAGTGCCCCAACGTTGGTGTCTGTGGAAGGAATAGTGCCCCAACGTTGGTGTCTGTGGAAGGAATAGTGCCCCAACGTTGGTGTCTGTGGAAGGAATAGTGCCCCAACGTTGGTGTCTGTGGAAGGAATAGTGCCCCAACGTTGGTGTCTGTGGAGGAAGGAATGTGAGGAATGCCCCCAACGTTGGTGTCTGTGGAAGCCCCAAAGGAATAGCGCCCCAACGTTGGTGTCTGTGGAAGGAATAGTGCGCCCCCAACGTTGGTGTCTGTGGAAGGAATAGTGCCCCAACGTTGGTGTCTGTGGAAGGAATAGTGCCCCAACGTTGGTGTCTGTGGAAGGAATAGTGCCCCCAACGTTGGTGTCTGTGGAAGGAATAGTGCCCCAACGGTTCTGGTGTCTTGTGGAAGGAATAGTGCCCCAACGTTGGTGTCTGTGGAAGGAATAGCCCCCGAACGTTGGTGTCTGTGGAAGGAATAGCTGTGGAAGGAATAGCCCCGACGTTGGTGTCTGTGGAAGGAATAGCGCCCCAACGTTGGTGTCTGTGGAAGGAATAGCGCCCCGACGTTGGTGTCTGTGGAAGGAATAGCGCCCCGACGTTGGTGTCTGTGGAAGGAATAGCGCCCCCAACGTTGGTGTCTGTGGAAGGAATAGCGCCCCCGACGTTGGTGTCTGTGGAAGGAATAGCGCCCCGACGTTGGTGTCTGTGGAAGGAATAGCGCCCCGACGTTGGTGTCTGTGGAAGGAATAGCGCCCCGACGTTGGTGTCTGTGGAAGGAATAGCGCCCCGACGTTGGTGTCTGTGGAAGGAATAGCGCCCCGACGTTGGTGTCTGTGGAAGGAATAGCGCCCCGACGTTGGTGTCTGTGGAAGGAATAGCGCCCCCCCGACGTTGGTGTCTGTGGAAGGAATAGCGCCCCAACGTTGGTGTCTGTGGAAGGAATAGCGCCCCA